AACAAACTTTTGACTTCAAAATAGTGAGTGTATTAAACATACATGCTTTATTACTGATATTTCTGTACGCCTGGTGCTAACCATTCGATATTAATGCATTTTATCCTACAAATACACTAAATATACTACATGGACAGACATAATTGACTCAGATGAAGAGAAAATCATATATTTACAAAACAATGTACACATATATATACATATATGTATATGTACATACATATGATATCATTTGTCTTTCTTAATAAAGTTTACTGTTCTTATCTGTGTTTTACAGTTTCAAGTGCGACTGCGTATTGTTGATATTTCTGTACGCCTAGTGCTAAACATTCGAGATTAGTGCATTTTTTTAAAACAAGTGTTAAATTCTCGGATTTCACCCATTAAAATTTAAAATTTACTATGAAAATTTCAAATTTTAATTGCCCATAAAAATTAATTGTTGCTGTGCATACAATCAAAGTAGTTGTGTATTGAATGTGATTCATATATTTTTTTTAATTTATAAACAAAATATTTTGGCAAAAAAAAAAAATTTTGCTTAAAAAAATTAAAATTTTTTTGCAAAAAAAAAAAATTTAAATTTTGGCAATTAAATTTTAAATTTTCATAGTAAATTTCAAATTTTAATTGCCCATTAAAATTAATGGTTGATAAACGTACATTACACAACTACTTTGATTGTATGCACAGCAACAATTAATTTTTATGGGCAATTAAAATTTGAAATTTTCATAGTAAATTTTAAATTTTAATGGGTGAAATCCGAGAATTTAACACTTTTTTAAAAAAAAATGCACTAATCTCGAATGTTTAGCACCAGGCGTACAGAAATATCAACAATACGCAGTCGCACTTGAAACTGTAAAACACAGATAAGAACAGTAAACTTTATTAAGAAAGACAAATGATATCAATATGTATGTACATATACATATATGTATATATATGTGTACATTGTTTTGTAAATATATGATTTTCTCTTCATCTGAGTCAATTATGTCTGTCCATGTAGTATATTTAGTGTATTTGTAGGATAAAATGCATTAATATCGAATGGTTAGCACCAGGCGTACAGAAATATCAGTAATAAAGCATATATGTTTAATACACTCACTATTTTGAAGTCAAAAGTTTGTTTAAATTATAAACAAAACAAGAGGATAATGAAAACAATACGCAATCGCACTTGAAACTGTAAAAAAATTATAAGAATAATAAACATTATTAAGAAGACAGATGATATTCATATGTATGTACATATACATCCGTATGTATATATGTATGAATATTTTTTGTAAATATGTGATTTTCTCTTCATCTGAGTCAATTATGTCTGTCCATGTCGAAATCATACGAATGCTCCATGTTCACTAAATTAGTTTGTAAAATTTTAAATATTTTTGTTACTTAACTGGAGCTAAATAAGAATCAAACTGGAATTTATCCGGACTAGAACTAAACTACAACTTAACTTCGACTTAACTTCGACTTAATATCAAACGAATTAAATTCTACATTAAATGAACAAGAATTTGCTGGAAAATATACTTTTTCGAAAAACATTGCATTCATAGTGTAGTTTTAATTAATTTTTCTCCAAAAATTAAGTTTTTGACTAAAAATAAGATTTTTAATCCAAAAATATCCCAACTTAACTAGAACTAAGCCCTAACGACACTGAAGTTTATACAGAACCGGACTAGAACAAACTACAACTTGACTGCTACTTAACATAAAATTATTTAGATTACAACTTAAATGAACAAGAATTTACAGAAAAATAGACTTTTTATCAAATCATTGCATTCTTAGAGCAATTTTATACATTTTCTCCAAAAATTAAGTTTTTTTTGACTAAAAATATGATTCTTTAGTCCAAAAATGTTCCAACTGAACTAGGTCTAAACAATAATCAGCCTCGAATTGAGATAGAACAAAACTATAACTTAACAAAAAATTTAAATTGAACTTATATTAAAACTCAACTAACGTTGAATCCAACTTAATTAGAATTCAATTACAACTTAACTTTTTAAAAATTCATATTTTAAGGTAAAAATCAAATCTTTATCAAAAATGAGTTTTTGACCCAAATTCTTCTGTTCTAAGTAGTTGTCTTTCATAATCTTGCGTAATAATATCGATAATTATTTATGTTTATGTTGCATTTTACTTAAGTCTGATTCCATTAGCTAAATTCGTCTGTCCTGTTGTGTTTGTATGTTGGATTGTATATACGTATGCGCCGTACTCATTGAATGAGTGTGTTTAATTTTTTGTTGTTATCCGTTCGTGTGGCATTCATATGGTAGTTAAAATGTTTATTTTTATTTGCTTTCGATTTTTTGTTTGTCCCTTTTGTGGACACTTAATATCTCCAGCATAAATTGTTTTATTAAAATTTCATAACCTTGCGCAATAATATTCATATATGAGTTCGATGTACGCAAGTGTAACACCAATATTAAAACATTCGTGATTGGCTCTAAATTCTTAAAATGAAACGATATTTTTATAGTTTTTGTTTTTATTATTTTTCATTATAAATTTCCCTTAACTAACATACTTAAGTTAATACAATATTATATGTATGTATATTAAGTGATATATAATTTCTTAAAAATTATTAGCCTAAGTCTAAACATTTTTTATATAAAAGGAAAATCTTATTATTCTATTTCCATTAAATATTCATCTCCATTGCTTATGGATGCATCATTGATGTCATTTACTTTCATTTTAATCATGTTTAAATCGGTCATAACATGATCTTCATCATCATTATTTATTAAAAGTTTTTGTTTATAATGCCCCCAAGCAAGAGTATTAACATTATTATTATAAATAAATCGTTTATTATCTAAATAACTTAAACTAATTTTATTTATATATGCTGTGTACAAAACATGTAATTTTGATTTAAAGATAATCATATTTCCATAATATACTTTTTTATTATACAAACAGTTCTTATAGTCTGAAAGACTTAAATTTTTAACTACATTACTTTTGACACCCTTAGCTTTTTGATTTCTTTATGATCTTCAGTTTTAAATGAATACATTTTAGCTCTTAAACCTATAAATTCTTTCATAAGTATACCATTATTTTCATCCTTCATCATTCCTAACACTTTCTTATTCTTTTTTGGTATACCAAAACGATTATCAGATTCGTATTCCGAAGTGTCGAATCTTGAATCGATATCATCAATTATATCTTTATAGAAATCATCCGTTTCAATTGTATAAATGAATGAATCAGTGTCCATATAATTAAGTTGAGCTTTTGAATTGTATTTAGGAACAATATAATCATAATGGAAATCATACATCTTCCATTTAGATAGTTCTAGAATTGTAAAACCTAGATAAATGGGTTTGTTATAAAATGAATACGTTTTATTTAATTCAATTGCTAGCATATTTTCTTCAAATATACAAACAGAATGAAATTCTGGTTTTGCTATTAGAGCACGAGCTCCAAGTCTTTTTCCTTCATTTTCCCATTTACTCACAATTTTAATGTTTTTACGTTTATCAACGTTTTCCATAGTTTTACCATATACAGCGTTATTAAGCAGTTTGAAAAAATTTTTCTCAAATGTATTTTTAGCATTTGTTCGGTGAAAATTATTTAAGGAAATATACTTTTTTAACCAGTTAGACTGCTTAAATTTTAGGATTCTATGTATTTTATTTAATTTTAGACCGTGGTTTAAGCATTGTTGTAAATTCTTATAATAGATTACATATTGATGTTTGTTGTTTAAATCCACAATTAATTTTTTCTCTTTAGAACTGGGTGGTGCTTTATTTTCACAACAAAATGGTAGATTGTTGTGACTATCATGAATTTCTATGGGATATATCAAATCTACCTCTAAAATATATCCAGTATCAGAATCTATCGGAATACTTTCCAATGAAAAGTTTCTAATATCTTCAATCCACTCAAAATCACACTCTGGTAAAGATTGAGACATTGCCCAACCATATAAGTTGTTAGCATCTAAATATGTTAAATATTTAGAGGGCAATTTGTCATTGTAGTCAGAAAGATATTTGTTGTTTGCAACAGAATGTCTTTGAGAACATTGAACAATTCCACCTCTAATTCCTTTTTGTAAAAAATTAATCATTTCAATATCGGTAAGCAAATCTAATTTTATGTTTGTTATTTTTAGCATTGCATCCCAAGATAGACCAGGTGCCGTATAGTAATGACATGGATCTAAATTATAGATGTTTTTACAGACTAATCTAAAGTTTTCAAATACATCGGCTAATAATAAAACATCACTTCTTAAGTATAACATTAAGTAATCTTCTAATGTTTTGCACTCAAAAGTATTCCAAACTTTTTGTGCATGTGCATAGTCCTCTATAGAACATTCTGATTCAGTTAATTTATTAAAGAACTCATCTATGGTTGGTAAACAAGGTTCTTGGAGTTTTTCTATTGAATTTAAATATGTATATGGAAAAACACCCTTTCTTATTAACAAATTAAATTTACTTTTATCGTCAGAATGAAATTCTTTGACGACTTTCAGTTCATCCTGAGTTAAATTTTTAACTAAATTATCTAAACTCGATGTCATAAACCGGTATGAGTCTAAAAATCTTATTTCAATATTGCGACCGTTATCGCTATTAATAGTTTTTGAAAGAGATATATACAACTCCTTATTGAGTGGAATAATATTAATGGGACCATCATCAATATTATTAAGCTCTTTCACAAATAAATGACAATCATATGCCGAAAAGTTGTGAAAAATAACTGGGATAAATGAAGGTAATTTGTAATTTATATTACAAGTATTATGAGCCGGTCCCCTATATTTTCCACTTAAATGACAATGATCTCTTACTTTTTCTTCATTTAAAATATTTTTTGAGCAAATATGACATATATTATTTGAATAAAAATCTAAATTTTCCTCTTCGGTCAAGGGTGCCATTGGTATAATATTTTTTAAATAATTATCATTTAAAAATTTAGCATCTGATACTAAATTCTCTATAAATAATTTTGCTGAGTTAAATCCCTTAAAACTACGTAATTTACTTAAACTATTATCAAAAGCACACTTAATGTAGTATGAAAATGCATATGGAATATGTTTATCAACTAATGTTGTCGATGATGAATCCATGTTCGGAATGCATGTTTGAATATTTTCAAATATACATTCAGAATCAGCATATACTACAAACGGTACATCCATGGAATTACAATAGTTTTGAAATTCTAAAGTAGACTTATCTTTTTCCGGAACATAAGATACTTTTTGACCGCAATTCTTCTGGTGTGCTACCAATTTTTCTATCAGATGAAAATGTTGTAAGCAATCATCACATACAAATACCTTCTCTTTTCTTTTCGTTTGTTGGTTTCTAATCAATCTGTAAAATTAGTAAAATACAAATAGTCAAAAGGATATGTTTTTTTTTTTATATTATACATACCTTGAAATAGATTTAATCCATACATAATGACACATGGTATTATCCCCAATACTTTTTTGAAGAAATAAAAGATTAATATGATTAGGCTTTTTGCATTTTGTTTTATAGTATGGCCCAACAACAATGTTTTTTGCTTCATCATATCCAAATACATTTATACTTATACATGGGTTATTTTCTTCAAAAATGGTTATATCCTTTATTTTTAATGGGAAGCTCAACCCATTGAAATTTAAGCAATAGCCCTTTAAGTTAATATTTTTCGACAAAATATTCACTTTATAATTTGATGTACGATTTGCCTTTGTTTCCAAATTAACTATGGCTGAAATCACGGCCCATTTGAAACAAAATTCATCATTATTTTTGACATTTACGCATGCGTTCTTCATTAACAATTTTTTGGGTAGTGATATATAGGATGAACCCTTCAGTGGTTGATACTTATTTATATTTAGAACAACTTTTATTAATTGTACTAAAGTCCAACCACTGTCTCTTTCCTGAAACTCTTCCATTTTTTGTAAAATGCTTCCAATATTGTTGGTAAATTTTACTTCAAATTCGCTGATGTCGAACATTTCTTTCATTTTTGTTTGAAAACTTTTCACATCTAATGGGGTGTTTTCTAAATCATCTAAGTTGGGCTTGGCGTAAAGAGCATGGAGTTCAACGTTGAACTTTATGCCAATATTAAGTTTTAAAAATTTATAGACTTCCTCCATAAATTCTCTGCCAGCTTTTTTCAACAATATTTCTGGTATGAGACATTGTTCATTATTGATATTGTATGATAATGTGATAATTCTGTTTTTAAACGCGCTCTTCTCCCTTTTAATAAAACCATTAAATGTTGATTGTTCGGCAGCAGCACTGCCTGGAGTGGATTCATGACTTATTTCAGGCATTTTTTTATTTAATTTATTTATATTTTTAATTGTTTATTTCAAATATAGTATAATTAACAAAATTTAAATGTTTAAATTTTTAATTAATTAAAAAAGTATGTTTAGAACAATTGATCCGTTCTTGGGAAAGTAGTGAAGTATACTGAATATAATACGTTAAAATATTTTGTTTTAAATATATGACAAGTCAATAATCTACTTTTTTATGTTAACTCCTTTGGATTCATATATTGAAATATTATTTATTTCTCTAATATTTGAATTGAAGTAACTATAAACATACACTTGATAATTTTTTAATTGAATCAGTTCATTTAAGATATAAATATGCACTAACGTAACTGAAGATAGTAATGAACTTAATTCACGCCTCCATATTAACTTTCTTTAAATGTAGAAATCATGCACAAACATGATAGAAACTCTCAAATATATCAACATACATATAAACGACAATCTTAGCATATAGTATATGACACATGCTAACAAATGTAAACTCTAATATAAACAAAAGAAGAGAATTATGTAAATAAAAATACGCATTCGCACTTTAAAAAATCAAACAAGAAATAAACATTATAAAAATGATCATCTTTAATAAGCAGACGATCATCATATTAAAATCCCCAATAAAACTCAACATAAATAAGTTCTATACGAACGTAAATTCACCTATCCAATTCCTAAAAATTTGTTTATAATGTATTAATTGTATTCAAATGTATGTAAAATGGAGTTATGTTACAGTTTGATATTAATGCTAAAATATGAAAATGGGTTAGGATATAATAAGGTCGACTATGTCTGATATTTTTCTGCTTATCACCACTATTCCCTCTCTGGTCATATATGGAATTATTCATACATGTTCGATTAATTTTTTATAAAAATAACAATTTTTGAGTCGATCGAACAAACAACCAACCAAACGATTTTGGTTGGAATGAATCCAGCAGTTCGACCAGGAGTCAGTACACACGTAAAAGATTATAATTTTTACTAAAGTCAAACCACTATAGTGGATAGACATTAGTAAAAGTATATATTTGGGTCATTAGTCATTAATGTATCCTTTAGTCATTAATGTACCCATAGACTAGTCAATCGTTACTTTAGTGTCCCCCAGTAACCTAGTGTGTGGAAACATGTAACTTTTTTACCTTTAACTTTAAAAGTCATTATCTTCTAAGCCCATGTTGGAATAACTAGACATAAAGCCAATCCTTCTTGAACAAGTGGCAACCCTAAACGGGTCTGCCACCTAACTCTAAACCGTAAGTAAACTATATTGTTCGGATCTTCTATCTATCCTTCTCTTTCTTTCAACCTTCCATCCTAACTCTCTTTTTCCCATCTCCATCATCCTAAATCCTTCACCATTCTATATTATCCCTATTCCTACCACCCCTCCTATCTTCTATCCGTCTGGTTACCAGCCTAGCCGCCAGTGGTAAAACAAGATTTTAAAAGGGAAACTTACTCGTTCGGGTCTAACACTTAACCATTATATGCAACGTCACTAGGTTGGAACTATCTCCTTGAACCGTCGGTCACTAGGTTGGAACTACCTCCTGCTCCGTCGGGCTACTTTATTTTGATTTCACAATAAATATAATGTTGTTGTATGTGGCTAAAGCAACAAACAAACGAACATCATCGAACACATTAACTGGTTGCATCGAACCAAACAGCGATCGAACCTTCGAACATTTTGGTTGCAATGTCTGTCATTAAAAAGTGGCCTGGAATCCCTTCAAACATACTACTAATTTTTATTTAAATTTGGCAGCATCAACCATTGACACTTTTTTTCTATACCCTCTTGAAGTTATCCTTTTTTTGCATACTTTTGCTACCATTAAAGTTCAGGATATTAAAATTCGCCCTTAAATATGCTTTTGTAAATTTAATTTATAGTATTGTATAATTTCCTTATTTAACAAAAAGGATTCCTATTCATTTATTCCGTTTCAACAGTTGCCCTTTTGTTTGGTCACTGAAAACACAAAAAGCAGCACTTCACCCAAATAAATAAGCTTTAGCTTTTAAGCTTTAACGGAAAGTAAGGGATTCATGTACTTAAAATTTATGTTAATAATTGACAATTTGAAAGGGCGCCTTAAAATAGACTATGTTAAATAAAACTAACAAACTAAAGACTACAGCAATGTTTGGTTAATTTCGAAAGCATACGAAAGAGTTTATTTTTACCTAACAAGTACAAAAACTGTAATTTATTTACTAAAAATAAGGAAATTTATAGTAAAACCTAAAAAAAGGATTTTCTATGTATAAGTTTTAAAGATCACTTTTGCTTATAATTTGGTCTATAATGGTAGTTAAACCCATACATTACTAAACTTTATATTTCATAGAATTTTCAGTCCCAAAAAGTTGTTTTGTTAAATTTTCTATTCTATGATATTTTCAAGTGCATATTTCTTTTTTTTTTACTTTAAGGCTTATTGGTGAAATATAGTTTTTTCCTGATTTTATATTTAGCTGGTACATGTAAATTATTTAAAAGGTTTTATTTTCTTTATTTCTGTACAAATCAGTAATTTAATTAAAGCTTAAGGGATAATGGCAAAAAGATTGGAAAAAAATAGAAAAGAAGAAAAATGGAAAATCTGTAGTGAATAATATGGGAATAAATAAATAGATATAGCCTAAAGTACTATAAAGTAAATTTTTTAGTTAATGTAGCTATAGGCTGGTAAAAAGTTCAAATAAAACAAAAAGGCCTTAATTATATTATCGTATCTTATGAGGAGGCTGAAGGTTTAAAGCGGATATTGTAGCACTTCTAGTAATTTTGTAACATTTAAAATACACGGTATTCTGAACTGTATACTACAGTGTAGACTATCGACAAGAATAAAGCCAAGATTATAGACAACATAATAGACTAGCGTATAGACTACACTATAAACCAGATTATGGACTACATTATAGACAAGAATATAGGCTAAAGTATAGACTAGAATTTAGACTATGATTTAGACCGGACTATAGACTAGACCATAGACTAGCCTATAAACTAGACTATTGACTAGACTATAGACTAGACTATAAAATAGACTATAGACTAGACTATAGACCAGACTAAAGACTAGACTACAGACTAGACTATAGATTTGACTATAGACTGGACTATAGACTAGTCTATAGACTAGAATGTAGATTAGACTATAGAATAGACTATAGATTAGACTATAGACTAGACTATAGATTACACTATAGACTAGGCTATAGACTAGACTATAGACTAGACTACAGACTAGACTATAAATTAGACTATAGACTAGACTATAGACAAGACTATAGATTAGACTACAGACTAGACTATAGACTAGACTATAGACTAGACTACAGACTAGACTATAGACTAGGTTATAGACTAGACTATAGACTAGATTATAGACTAGACTATAGACCAGATTATAGACAAGACTATAGACTGTAGACTAGGCTATAGACCAGACTATTGACTAGACTATAGACTGGGCTGTAGAGTAGACTTTAGACTAGAAAATCTATAGACTAGATTATTAAAAGGCAGTTAGTTAGTTAGTTAGTTAGTTAGTTAGTTAGTTAGTTAGTTAGTTAGTTAGTTAGTTAGTTAGTTAGTTAGTTAGTTAGTTAGTTAGTTAGTTAGTTAGTTAGTTAGTTAGTTAGTTAGTTAGTTAGTTAGTTAGTTAGTTAGTTAGTTAGTTAGTTAGTTAGTTAGTTAGTTAGTTAGTAGTTAGTTAGTTAGTTAGTTAGTTAGTTAGTTAGTTAGTTAGTTAGTTAGTTAGTTAGTTAGTTAGTTAGTTAGTTAGTTAGTTAGTTAGTTAGTTAGTTAGTTAGTTAGTTAGTTAGTTAGTTAGTTAGTTAGTTAGTTAGTTAGTTAGTAGTTAGTTAGTTGAGTAGTTAGTAGTTAGTTAGTTAGTTAGTTAGTTAGTTAGTTAGTTAGTTAGTTAGTTAGTTAGTAGTTAGTTAGTTAGTTAGTTAGTTAGTTAGTTAGTTAGTTAGTTAGTTAGTTAGTTAGTTAGTTAGTTAGTTAGTTAGTTAGTTAGTTAGTTAGTTAGTTAGTAGTTAGTTAGTAGTTAGTTAGGTAGTTAGTTAGTTAGTTAGTAGTTAGTTAGTTAGTTAGTTAGTTAGTTAGTTAGTTAGTTAGTTAGTTAGTTAGTTAGTTAGTTAGTTAGTTAGTTAGTTAGTTAGTTAGTTAGTTAGTTAGTTAGTTAGTTAGTTAGTTAGTTAGTTAGTTAGTAGTTAGTTAGTTAGTTGTGTAGTTAGTTAGTTAGTTAGTTAGTTAGTTAGTTAGTTAGTTAGTTAGTTAGTTAGTTAGTAGTTAGTTAGTTAGTAGTTAGGTAGTTAGTTAGTTAGGTAGTAGTTAGTTAGTTAGTTAGTTAGTGTAGTTAGTAGTTAGTTAGTTAGTTAGTTAGTTAGTTAGTTAGTTAGTTAGTTAGTTAGTTAGTTAGTTAGTAGTAGTTAGTTAGTTAGTTAGTTAGTTAGTTAGTAGTTAGTTAGTTAGTTAGTTAGTTAGTTAGTTAGTTAGTTAGTTAGTTAGTTAGTTAGTTAGTTAGTTAGTTAGTTAGTTAGTTAGTTAGTTAGTTAGTTAGTTAGTTAGTTAGTTAGTTAGTTAGTTAGTTAGTTAGTTAGTTAGTTAGTTAGTTAGTTAGTTAGTTAGTTAGTTAGTAGTTAGTTAGTTAGTTAGTTAGTTAGTTAGTTAGTTAGTTAGTAGTTAGTTAGTTAGTTAGTTAGTTAGTTAGTTAGTTAGTTAGTTAGTTAGTAGTTAGTTAGTGTTAGTTAGTTAGTTAGTTAGTTAGTTAGTTAGTTAGTTAGTTAGTTAGTTAGTTAGTTAGTTAGTTAGTTAGTTAGTTAGTTAGTTAGTTAGTTAGTTAGTTAGTTAGTTAGTTAGTTAGTTAGTTAGTTAGTTAGTTAGTTAGTTAGTTAGTTAGTTAGTTAGTTAGTTAGTTAGTTAGTTAGTTAGTTAGTTAGTTAGTTAGTTAGTTAGT